TTCATGAAGATTTACAAGGTCTTTAATCCGGTCGATGTGCACTTGGCAGACGATGGTGTCGTTCAAGCGATCGTAAAAGGCGACATCGTGACGTCAATGAAGAAGCCACGCGGTACCAAGAAAGGTGTGCTCACGGACGAGTGTCAGATCCCGATGTTATCGCGTAATCTGTTCTCCGTGGGTAGATTCACCAAGGACGTCGGGCCAGTCACCTTCAAAACCAAAGGATGCTTCGCGGAGACGAAAGGTGTCAAGTTAAATCTCGGTGCTCGCGAGGGCAAATGGCTTTTCAAACTCTGCATGACGCCAGAAGCGTCTAACGAGAAAGCTTATCGATTCGAAAAGATCAAGAGTGGTCGTGTGCTGGTCAGCCGCGACGCACAGTTTATGGAAGACGTCTTCGACAGTGGAAGACGCGACTGCGTTCAAAAGCCGAATTAGTTCTAGAAGATGAAGAAAGTTCAACGGATGAAGACTCATCGTGTTCCAGCAAAGAAGAAGAAGAAAACATGCGGGATAAATACATGATCTTCGTGGCACTTTACGTCGACGATTTGGTAATCGCGAGCAACAACGACGATCTGCTCAAGTCAACAAAGAAGGCGCTGGGTCATCGTTTTGACATGACGGAATTGGGAAATCTCAAGCATTTTCTCGGTATGTAAGTTGATCAAGATTTCACGGTCGGCACAATCTCGATTCGTCCGTCCAAATTCGTGAAGGATATCCTCCAGAAATTCGGCATGGAACTTAGCAATCCAGTAAAGACTCCACAAGAACCCGGGCTAAAGCTGACAAGGTCCATGTGCGAAGGAGGATGCAAGCACGAAGACACGATGGCAAACGTTCCATATCGTAAGGCTGTTGGATGCCTGGTAGGAAATTGCCCGGATCTCGCAGCTGCAGTGGGAGTGCTCAGCCAGTTTGCAGCGGACCCTTGTCCGACACATTGGCAAGCACTCTAGCGCGTGTTCAGGTACGTCCAAGGCACACAAACCCATGGGATTGAATTTCAAGCCACAAGCAATGACAAGCTTCAAAGATACTCAGATGCAGACTGGGCTGGTGATGTGGAAACTCGACGAAGCACAAGTGGATACGCGCTCCTGATAAACAATGGGTGTATCAGCTGGAGAAGCAAGAAACAGCGTGCAGTGGCTCTGTCATCTACGGAAGCCGAGTACATGGCGTTGACAGAAGCTACACAAAAAGCAGTATGGATCAAAGCATTTTTGTGTAAGCTTGGCGAGATGAAGAACGACGAAGCAGTCAAGATCTATGAAGATAACCAAGGTTCCATTGCGCTGGTCAAGAACCCCGAGTTCCATAAAAGAACGAAGCATATCGACATCCGGTATCACTTCGTGCGCGAGAAGGTTGCAGACGGCCAAGTGTTGCTACAGTACTGCGCTACGAAGAACAAGAAAGCAGACCTCATGACGAAGCCGATCCCCGCTGTGCAGTTCGAATATCTTCGGGGCATGCTGGGGATCAAGACGCCACGGTCTGCCGAGGCGAGTGGGAGTGTTGTTAATGATACGCCTCGGCATGACGTTTTATAAAAGTGTTCTGTGGCTCAGCCGGTTTGGTATGGCAGTACCATCCCAAAGGTCACTGGTTCGATACCGGTGGGGCGTGCAAACAAAAAAGTTAAGCCTTCGGGATCTGGTGTTTGGGGTTCACCAGCACTGTCCTGCCAGATAGTGACGTCCCCCACTTTCGGTACGTTTGGGTGTTTAGAAACGCACAACCAGAATTAGAAACGTACGACTAGACGATTAGTAATGCGTGATGTGGTGATTACTAATGCGCGACTAGACAATTAGTAATGTGCGATGTGGCGATTACTAATGCGCGACTAGACGATTAGTAATGTACGATATAGCGATTAGGAACGCATAGTCGAAGAATCAAGTAGGCGTAGAGTAGCAGCAGACTTTGCGAACTGAGGACCTAAATATATTCACTTTGCATTTTACCAGCTTTGTCCAACGACTTTGGTTATGGGCCAAACCCTGCGGACTCTGCCCAAGACCTCGACCACGCTTTCTCAATGGACGCCATGCCGACCGCCCACATCAACAGGTTCGCCGGAACAAACTTCCATACGTGGAAGTTTGAGATGCAGATGGTGCTGGAGGAGGGAGACCTGTGGGATGTCGTGAGTGGGGAGGTGAAGCTTGAGCACTGCGTGTCGACATTGGGCCAATCAACGTTCAAGAGGAATTCGCGTAAGGCAATGGCGATCATCTGCCTCGCAATGGAGGACTCGCAGTTGCCACTGGTGCGCTCGGCGGAGAATGCGTACGATGCATGGTCGCGTCTGGACGGACACTACGAGAAGAAGAGCTTGGTTAATAAGCTCCTTCTTCGTCGCCGTTTCTTCACGACAATGATGGGAGAAGGTGGTGACGTGCTAGAGCACATCAACAAGCTCAAGACCCTGGCGGAGCAACTCGACGCGGTTGGTGCTCCGGTCAGCGAAGATGACTTGGTCATCACTCTTCTGGCCAGTCTCAGCGAGTCCTATCGATTCCTGATCACGGCGCTGGAGTCAAGATCCGACTCGCTGACATAGAATTTAGTGACGTCTCGTCTGATGCATGAAGACTTGAAGCGCAAGGAGCAAGGTGGAGGAGTCGATGGATCCGTGCATGGGCAAGCTCAAGCGTTCATGTCAAGAGACAACAAGCGAAACGGACGACCAGGTAAGAAGACTGATGCGTGCCACAAGTGTGGGAAACAAGGACATTGGATCGCGGAATGCCCCTCGCGGATCCAAGAAGACGCGGAACGACATCGATTCCAGCGTTCGAACGTGGCGCAAGATGAAAATCTTGGCGATTATCTGTTCTCGGTTGGTGGTGAAGTCGCCAAGTCGATTAACGTGTGGCTGGTCGACTTGGGTGCGACGCAGCACATGACGAGCTCCAAGAAGTTCATGAAGATTTACAAGGTCTTTAATCCGGTCGATGTGCACTTGGCAGACGATGGTGTCGTTCAAGCGATCGTAAAAGGCGACATCGTGACGTCAATGAAGAAGCCACGCGGTACCAAGAAAGGTGTGCTCACGGACGAGTGTCAGATCCCGATGTTATCGCGTAATCTGTTCTCCGTGGGTAGATTCACCAAGGACGTCGGGCCAGTCACCTTCAAAACCAAAGGATGCTTCGCGGAGACGAAAGGTGTCAAGTTAAATCTCGGTGCTCGCGAGGGCAAATGGCTTTTCAAACTCTGCATGACGCCAGAAGCGTCTAACGAGAAAGCTTATCGATTCGAAAAGATCAAGAGTGGTCGTGTGCTGGTCAGCCGCGACGCACAGTTTATGGAAGACGTCTTCGACAGTGGAAGACGCGACTGCGTTCAAAAGCCGAATTAGTTCTAGAAGATGAAGAAAGTTCAACGGATGAAGACTCATCGTGTTCCAGCAAAGAAGAAGAAGAAAACATGCGGGATAAATACATGATCTTCGTGGCACTTTACGTCGACGATTTGGTAATCGCGAGCAACAACGACGATCTGCTCAAGTCAACAAAGAAGGCGCTGGGTCATCGTTTTGACATGACGGAATTGGGAAATCTCAAGCATTTTCTCGGTATGTAAGTTGATCAAGATTTCACGGTCGGCACAATCTCGATTCGTCCGTCCAAATTCGTGAAGGATATCCTCCAGAAATTCGGCATGGAACTTAGCAATCCAGTAAAGACTCCACAAGAACCCGGGCTAAAGCTGACAAGGTCCATGTGCGAAGGAGGATGCAAGCACGAAGACACGATGGCAAACGTTCCATATCGTAAGGCTGTTGGATGCCTGGTAGGAAATTGCCCGGATCTCGCAGCTGCAGTGGGAGTGCTCAGCCAGTTTGCAGCGGACCCTTGTCCGACACATTGGCAAGCACTCTAGCGCGTGTTCAGGTACGTCCAAGGCACACAAACCCATGGGATTGAATTTCAAGCCACAAGCAATGACAAGCTTCAAGGCTACTCAGATGCAGACTGGGCTGGTGATGTGGAAACTCGACGAAGCACAAGTGGATACGCGTTCCTGATGAACAATGGGTGTATCAGCTGGAGAATCAAGAAACAGCGTACAGTGGCTCTATCGTCTACGGAAGCCGAGTACATGGCGTTGACAGAAGCCACACAAGAAGCAGTATGGATCAAAGCATTTTTGTGTAAGCTTGGCGAGATGAAGAACGACGAAGCAGTCAAAATCTATGAAGATAACCAAGGTTCCATTGCGCTGGTCAAGAACCCCGAGTTCCATAAAAGAACGAAGCATATCGACATCCGGTATCACTTCGTGCGCGAGAAGGTCGCAGACGGTCAAGTGTTGCTACAGTACTGCGCTACAAAGGACATGAATGCAGATCTCATGAAGAAACCGATCTCTGCTGCGCAGTTTGACTATCTTCGAGGCATGTTGGGGATCAAGACACCAAGGTCTGCCGGGTCGAGTGGGAGTGTTGTTGATGATGCGCCTCGGCATGACGTTTTATAAAAGTGTTCTGTGGCTCAGCCGGTTTGGTATGGCAGTACCATCCCAAAGGTCACTGGTTCGATACCGGTGGGGCGTGCAAACAAAAAGTTAAGCCTTCGGGATCTGGTGTTTGGGGTTCACCAGCACTGTCCTGCCAGATAGTGACGTCCCCCCACTTTCGGTACGTTTGGGTGTTTAGAAACGCACAACCAGAATTAGAAACGTACGACTAGACGATTAGTAATGCGTGATGTGGTGATTACTAATGCGCGACTAGACAATTAGTAATGTGCGATGTGGCGATTACTAATGCGCGACTAGACGATTAGTAATGTACGATATAGCGATTAGGAACGCATAGTCGAAGAATCAAGTAGGCGTAGAGTAGCAGCAGACTTTGCGAACTGAGGACCTAAATATATTCACTTTGCATTTTACCAGCTTTGTCCAACGACTTTGGTTATGGGCCAAACCCTGCGGACTCTGCCCAAGACCTCGACCACGCTTTCTCAATGGACGCCATGCCGACCGCCCACATCAACAGGTTCGCCGGAACAAACTTCCATACGTGGAAGTTTGAGATGCAGATGGTGCTGGAGGAGGGAGACCTGTGGGATGTCGTGAGTGGGGAGGTGAAGCTTGAGCACTGCGTGTCGACATTGGGCCAATAAACGTTCAAGAGGAATTCGCGTAAGGCAATGGCGATCATCTGCCTCGCAATGGAGGACTCGCAGTTGCCACTGGTGCGCTCGGCGGAGAATGCGTACGATGCATGGTCGCGTCTGGACGGACACTACGAGAAGAAGAGCTTGGTTAATAAGCTCCTTCTTCGTCGCCGTTTCTTCACGACAATGATGGGAGAAGGTGGTGACGTGCTAGAGCACATCAACAAGCTCAAGACCCTGGCGGAGCAACTCGACGCGGTTGGTGCTCCGGTCAGCGAAGATGACTTGGTCATCACTCTTCTGGCCAGTCTCAGCGAGTCCTATCGATTCCTGATCACGGCGCTGGAGTCAAGATCCGACTCGCTGACATAGAATTTAGTGACGTCTCGTCTGATGCATGAAGACTTGAAGCGCAAGGAGCAAGGTGGAGGAGTCGATGGATCCGTGCATGGGCAAGCTCAAGCGTTCATGTCAAGAGACAACAAGCGAAACGGACGACCAGGTAAGAAGACTGATGCGTGCCACAAGTGTGGGAAACAAGGACATTGGATCGCGGAATGCCCCTCGCGGATCCAAGAAGACGCGGAACGACATCGATTCCAGCGTTCGAACGTGGCGCAAGATGAAAATCTTGGCGATTATCTGTTCTCGGTTGGTGGTGAAGTCGCCAAGTCGATTAACGTGTGGCTGGTCGACTTGGGTGCGACGCAGCACATGACGAGCTCCAAGAAGTTCATGAAGATTTACAAGGTCTTTAATCCGGTCGATGTGCACTTGGCAGACGATGGTGTCGTTCAAGCGATCGTAAAAGGCGACATCGTGACGTCAATGAAGAAGCCACGCGGTACCAAGAAAGGTGTGCTCACGGACGAGTGTCAGATCCCGATGTTATCGCGTAATCTGTTCTCCGTGGGTAGATTCACCAAGGACGTCGGGCCAGTCACCTTCAAAACCAAAGGATGCTTCGCGGAGACGAAAGGTGTCAAGTTAAATCTCGGTGCTCGCGAGGGCAAATGGCTTTTCAAACTCTGCATGACGCCAGAAGCGTCTAACGAGAAAGCTTATCGATTCGAAAAGATCAAGAGTGGTCGTGTGCTGGTCAGCCGCGACGCACAGTTTATGGAAGACGTCTTCGACAGTGGAAGACGCGACTGCGTTCAAAAGCCGAATTAGTTCTAGAAGATGAAGAAAGTTCAACGGATGAAGACTCATCGTGTTCCAGCAAAGAAGAAGAAGAAAACATGCGGGATAAATACATGATCTTCGTGGCACTTTACGTCGACGATTTGGTAATCGCGAGCAACAACGACGATCTGCTCAAGTCAACAAAGAAGGCGCTGGGTCATCGTTTTGACATGACGGAATTGGGAAATCTCAAGCATTTTCTCGGTATGTAAGTTGATCAAGATTTCACGGTCGGCACAATCTCGATTCGTCCGTCCAAATTCGTGAAGGATATCCTCCAGAAATTCGGCATGGAACTTAGCAATCCAGTAAAGACTCCACAAGAACCCGGGCTAAAGCTGACAAGGTCCATGTGCGAAGGAGGATGCAAGCACGAAGACACGATGGCAAACGTTCCATATCGTAAGGCTGTTGGATGCCTGGTAGGAAATTGCCCGGATCTCGCAGCTGCAGTGGGAGTGCTCAGCCAGTTTGCAGCGGACCCTTGTCCGACACATTGGCAAGCACTCTAGCGCGTGTTCAGGTACGTCCAAGGCACACAAACCCATGGGATTGAATTTCAAGCCACAAGCAATGACAAGCTTCAAAGATACTCAGATGCAGACTGGGCTGGTGATGTGGAAACTCGACGAAGCACAAGTGGATACGCGCTCCTGATAAACAATGGGTGTATCAGCTGGAGAAGCAAGAAACAGCGTGCAGTGGCTCTGTCATCTACGGAAGCCGAGTACATGGCGTTGACAGAAGCTACACAAAAAGCAGTATGGATCAAAGCATTTTTGTGTAAGCTTGGCGAGATGAAGAACGACGAAGCAGTCAAAATCTATGAAGATAACCAAGGTTCCATTGCGCTGGTCAAGAACCCCGAGTTCCATAAAAGAACGAAGCATATCGACATCCGGTATCACTTCGTGCGCGAGAAGGTCGCAGACGGTCAAGTGTTGCTACAGTACTGCGCTACAAAGGACATGAAAGCAGATCTCATGACGAAACCGATCTCTGCTGCGCAGTTTGACTATCTTCGAGGCATGTTGGGGATCAAGACACCAAGGTCTGCCGGGTCGAGTGGGAGTGTTGTTGATGATGCGCCTCGGCATGACGTTTTATAAAAAGTGTTCTGTGGCTCAGCCGGTTTGGTATGGCAGTACCATCCCAAAGGTCACTGGTTCGATACCGGTGGGGCGTGCAAACAAAAAGTTAAGCCTTCGGGATCTGGTGTTTGGGGTTCACCAGCACTGTCCTGCCAGATAGTGACGTCCCCCACTTTCGGTACGTTTGGGTGTTTAGAAACGCACAACCAGAATTAGAAACGTACGACTAGACGATTAGTAATGCGTGATGTGGTGATTACTAATGCGCGACTAGACAATTAGTAATGTGCGATGTGGCGATTACTAATGCGCGACTAGACGATTAGTAATGTACGATATAGCGATTAGGAACGCATAGTCGAAGAATCAAGTAGGCGTAGAGTAGCAGCAGACTTTGCGAACTGAGGACCTAAATATATTCACTTTGCATTTTACCAGCTTTGTCCAACGACTTTGGTTATGGGCCAAACCCTGCGGACTCTGCCCAAGACCTCGACCACGCTTTCTCAATGGACGCCATGCCGACCGCCCACATCAACAGGTTCGCCGGAACAAACTTCCATACGTGGAAGTTTGAGATGCAGATGGTGCTGGAGGAGGGAGACCTGTGGGATGTCGTGAGTGGGGAGGTGAAGCTTGAGCACTGCGTGTCGACATTGGGCCAATCAACGTTCAAGAGGAATTCGCGTAAGGCAATGGCGATCATCTGCCTCGCAATGGAGGACTCGCAGTTGCCACTGGTGCGCTCGGCGGAGAATGCGTACGATGCATGGTCGCGTCTGGACGGACACTACGAGAAGAAGAGCTTGGTTAATAAGCTCCTTCTTCGTCGCCGTTTCTTCACGACAATGATGGGAGAAGGTGGTGACGTGCTAGAGCACATCAACAAGCTCAAGACCCTGGCGGAGCAACTCGACGCGGTTGGTGCTCCGGTCAGCGAAGATGACTTGGTCATCACTCTTCTGGCCAGTCTCAGCGAGTCCTATCGATTCCTGATCACGGCGCTGGAGTCAAGATCCGACTCGCTGACATAGAATTTAGTGACGTCTCGTCTGATGCATGAAGACTTGAAGCGCAAGGAGCAAGGTGGAGGAGTCGATGGATCCGTGCATGGGCAAGCTCAAGCGTTCATGTCAAGAGACAACAAGCGAAACGGACGACCAGGTAAGAAGACTGATGCGTGCCACAAGTGTGGGAAACAAGGACATTGGATCGCGGAATGCCCCTCGCGGATCCAAGAAGACGCGGAACGACATCGATTCCAGCGTTCGAACGTGGCGCAAGATGAAAATCTTGGCGATTATCTGTTCTCGGTTGGTGGTGAAGTCGCCAAGTCGATTAACGTGTGGCTGGTCGACTTGGGTGCGACGCAGCACATGACGAGCTCCAAGAAGTTCATGAAGATTTACAAGGTCTTTAATCCGGTCGATGTGCACTTGGCAGACGATGGTGTCGTTCAAGCGATCGGAAAAGGCGACATCGTGACGTCAATGAAGACGCCACGCGGTACCAAGAAAGGTGTGCTCACGGACGAGTGTCAGATCCCGATGTTATCGCGTAATCTGTTCTCCGTGGGTAGATTCACCAAGGACGTCGGGCCAGTCACCTTCAAAACCAAAGGATGCTTCGCGGAGACGAAAGGTGTCAAGTTAAATCTCGGTGCTCGCGAGGGCAAATGGCTTTTCAAACTCTGCATGACGCCAGAAGCGTCTAACGAGAAAGCTTATCGATTCGAAAAGATCAAGAGTGGTCGTGTGCTGGTCAGCCGCGACGCACAGTTTATGGAAGACGTCTTCGACAGTGGAAGACGCGACTGCGTTCAAAAGCCGAATTAGTTCTAGAAGATGAAGAAAGTTCAACGGATGAAGACTCATCGTGTTCCAGCAAAGAAGAAGAAGAAAACATGCGGGATAAATACATGATCTTCGTGGCACTTTACGTCGACGATTTGGTAATCGCGAGCAACAACGACGATCTGCTCAAGTCAACAAAGAAGGCGCTGGGTCATCGTTTTGACATGACGGAATTGGGAAATCTCAAGCATTTTCTCGGTATGTAAGTTGATCAAGATTTCACGGTCGGCACAATCTCGATTCGTCCGTCCAAATTCGTGAAGGATATCCTCCAGAAATTCGGCATGGAACTTAGCAATCCAGTAAAGACTCCACAAGAACCCGGGCTAAAGCTGACAAGGTCCATGTGCGAAGGAGGATGCAAGCACGAAGACACGATGGCAAACGTTCCATATCGTAAGGCTGTTGGATGCCTGGTAGGAAATTGCCCGGATCTCGCAGCTGCAGTGGGAGTGCTCAGCCAGTTTGCAGCGGACCCTTGTCCGACACATTGGCAAGCACTCTAGCGCGTGTTCAGGTACGTCCAAGGCACACAAACCCATGGGATTGAATTTCAAGCCACAAGCAATGACAAGCTTCAAAGATACTCGGATCCAGATTGGGCTGGTGATGTGGAAACTCGACGAAGCACAAGTGGATACGCGTTCCTGATGAACAATGGGTGTATCAGCTGGAGAAGCAAGAAACAGCGTGCAGTGGCTCTATCATCTACGGAAGCCGAGTACATGGCGTTGACAGAAGCTACACAAAAAGCAGTATGGATCAAAGCATTTTTGTGTAAGCTTGGCGAGATGAAGAACGACGAAGCAGTCAAAATCTATGACGATAACCAAGGTTCCATCGCGCTGGTCAAGAACCCCGAGTTCCATAAAAGAACGAAGCATATCGACATCCGGTATCACTTCGTGCGCGAGAAGGTCGCAGACGGTCAAGTGTTGCTACAGTACTGCGCTACAAAGGACATGAAAGCAGATCTCATGACGAAACCGATCTCTGCTGCGCAGTTCGAATATCTTCGGGGCATGCTGGGGATCAAGACGCCACGGTCTGCCGAGGCGAGTGGGAGTGTTGTTAATGATACGCCTCGGCATGACGTTTTATAAAAGTGTTCTGTGGCTCAGCCGGTTTGGTATGGCAGTACCATCCCAAAGGTCACTGGTTCGATACCGGTGGGGCGTGCAAACAAAAAAGTTAAGCCTTCGGGATCTGGTGTTTGGGGTTCACCAGCACTGTCCTGCCAGATAGTGACGTCCCCCACTTTCGGTACGTTTGGGTGTTTAGAAACGCACAACCAGAATTAGAAACGTATGACTAGACGATTAGTAATGCGTGATGTGGTGATTACTAATGCGCGACTAGACAATTAGTAATGTGCGATGTGGCGATTACTAATGCGCGACTAGACGATTAGTAATGTACGATATAGCGATTAGGAACGCATAGTCGAAGAATCAAGTAGGCGTAGAGTAGCAGCAGACTTTGCGAACTGAGGACCTAAATATATTCACTTTGCATTTTACCAGCTTTTTCCAACGACTTTAAAAACGGTGTACGCGCTGATCCGGAAAAGATTAAGGCGATCGGCGACTGGCCTGTGTCAGTCGACGTCAAGGGGCTTCGAAAGTTCCTTGGCTTGGCAGCGTATTTGCACAAATACTCGCGCAACTATGCCGAGATGACCGTACATCTCTCTCGTCGATAAAAAAAAGGAGAGGTGGTCACGGAGCGCTGAGTTTCATCACCCCTTTGAAGGCATCAAGAAAAGCTTGGTTAAATCGCCTGTGTTGGCGATTGCAGATCAGGATAGACCATTCCACGTTGTCTGTGACGCCAGCGATTATGCAATCGGCTGCGCGTTAATGCAGTACGACTCAGACGGCGTTAAGCGTGTAGTCTGTTATCAATCGCGTCAGCTGCAAGCAGCTGAGCATAATTATCCGGTGCATGACAAGGAACTCCTTGCCATGAAATATTCACTGGCCAAGTTTCGGCTATATCTCTTAGGAGATAGGCCCTTCATCGTTTACACCGACCATGCGTCATTACGTACGGCCGTAAACAGTCCACACATCTTGCAACGAATGGCGAGATGACTGTCTTTCTTCGCGGAGTAAAACTTCTCCGTCGAGTATAAACCAGGACGACTTAATGTCGTCGCTGATGCTCTTTCGCGTCGGCCCGATTTCGAGCCGACTGCTTAACACAATAGTAGAGATGATCCCACCGTAGCGACACTAACAGTGAGTTTTCCGTCGTCAAATTTACTCGACGACGTGCGAAAAGCATACGCAGAAGAGGAGTCTCTTCTGCGATTGATGGATTACGTGTCAAATCCATGCAGTCAAGCTTTGAAAAGCTTGTCGTCTCGATAATGCTCTTCAACTAAACGGTATTCGGTTCATGATGGACTGCTGTAATATACAGCAGTCAACGGCGACACACCTCGTGTCGTCGTTCCCGCTCATGATAATTTGCGATTGCGCATTGTGTATGAGTGTCACGATTCCCCAACAAGTGGGCATCGCGGTAGAGAAAAGACGTACCTCATGGTGAATCGTGACTTCTACTGGCCCCGCCAGTATGAGTTTGTGCGCAAATGCATTCGCGTTTGCGAATTTATCAACGGGTGAAGCCTAATCCTTCATCATGCGCACTCTTGCAGCCTCTACAGATTCCGGCAGAGTTTTTTGGCAGTCCGTATCGATGGACTTCGTCTTTGTTTTTCCCAAAGACGTTCACAAGAAAACTGGTATTCTTGTGTTTGTTGAACGGTTTAGCAAGGTGGTACATATTGTTGCTCTACCGGAGTCAATCACAGCCCAAGGCTGTACTCGTGTCTTCATCGATACTAACTTCCGACCTCACGGGTTACTTCGTCAGCTCGTGTCTCATAGGGAACCCGCTTTACAGCGGAGTTCTGGCAATCCGTGTTCTGTTCTCTTAGAACACATTCATAGATGTCGACTCCTAGCCATCCAGAAACAGAAAATAATAAAAACGGAACGCGTCAACTGCGTCCTCGAAGAGATGCTTCGAGGGTACGTCCCAATCGCTTACGAGTTGGAGTCAATTCTTGCCGATGGCAGAACTCGCCGTCAACAACTCGATGCACGCGTCGACAACGCATGTACCGTTCTTCGTGAATGGTCTACGCCATCCACGTTTACCCGCCTTCTGGGAGTGTGACACAGTTTACGGGGGAGAGGGGGCTCGCTCGAACAAAACCCGATCCGGTTCTTGCTCATCACACGTCGACAATGGTGTCGACGTGATGGACGCCAATGTCGATCACATCGACACCGATGACGATGATGACGACGATGCTGGTATATCCGGCATCGCCAACGACTGCCACAGTAAGGACGATGACGCCCTCACTGGTCGACACAATGTTCTTAAGCGGTTCACACGAAGCGAAATGCTGTTAACAAGGGAGAATCAGCAGAGGAATTATTTGCTGACTTGCGAAGCGGTTGTCCGCTTCGTTCAAGAGTTTATTTCAGACGCATAAGACAAACAGAAAAGAAACGAAGACATACATGGAAGAGCAAGCGCTCTTTCATTTAATGAAGAAGACTTAGTTTTACTGTCTACATTAAATCTACCGAAACACGCAGTGACAAACGTGGGTAGCAGTAAGCCACTGCCCAAGTATATCGGTCCATTTCGTGTGTTGCGCCGAATGGGCAATGCATACACGACTGAACTGCCTCGTAAGAAGCGTATGCATCCTACTTTTTTCGTTGGACGTCTTAGCCCATACTATCAGTACGAGCCCGTTTCGAGATGCTGCGAAGTTCACCTCCACGGTCGAGAGCCGAGACCACCTTCGAGGTTCCCGTATCAACGAGCCAGTCTGGTCGACTAGCGAAGCCACCTGTTCAAGCAGTTGTGCGATGTCTCGACGAGCTACAGCCAGCTCGTCAAGAAGAGAACGAGTCGAACGTTCGTTCTCAAGCTGCGCAAACGCAAAAGCGGCACGATCGTCCGAACGATCGTGCGCTAAGGAATTGTAATTATGCCCTACAATATCCTCAATCTCATAACGCCGATTGCGTTCATGAGCCAGGTCATCGTGTAACTGTACCAATACACGGTTCAGCTCCTAGACATCAAGCTGGTCTGACCTTCGAGCCGGATTAGGTGTTCCCGCCACCACCTCATTCTTTGGTGGACTCAAGCGGTGGTCAACGCTTCCTAGTGGAGCGTATCTTAAACCACCGCGATGTGAATTGGCGTCCGGACGAGTTACCTCGTCCGCTGACGTGGCTTTCCACCGGCGTGGGACAGCTGGGAGCCTCGTGCCCAGCTAATTGTTGATGTCCTTGGTCTCGCCGAGCAGTACGACGAGACCCACCCGCTGCGTTTGAAGAAGGGCCGTCGGAAAACGACCTCCCCGAACGCGAGTACAGGGATTGCAATTTGTCGATTCCTTCGGCCATCTCGAAGGAGATGCGCGCCCTCCAGTAGGGATCATTAGGGAGGAAGGCCTCCGTAGGGGCACGGTTCGAGTTGTCCAGGCAACCTGGACACGAATCACTCCAGGAGAGACAGGGTAATCCAGCCTCTTCTGAAAGCCGGTGCAACTTGTGTTGCGCCCCGACTGGGTTGCGTTTCTCAAACCTGACGCGAGCTGCATCAATTTTACCGATCCAGGCCTCACGGCCAATACACTCGATGTTGTGGATGAGGGCATTTCATCCCTGCACCAAGACTTTGCCGTCTCGTACACGGCTATCATTGTACCGGCGATGTTTGAAGAACGCATCAGTGGAGAACTCTTCCTCATACGGATAGTTTCCGTGATGGAATCAGGCGGACAGATCTTCCTGAAATCGAACAACGGGATTCGATCCCGTTCGGTAGTCACGCCGGCCAACCGGTCCAACTCTCTGGATGGAGGCATCCAGGCAGACTCCACTTGGGGAGCGTGGCGCAGGACATTTCGGTCCCTGGCCTCTTGATTTAAAACGGGGCACCCTGAAGCTTGTACTGGTAACAGTACAAGCTATTTATTCTGATGACAGAATAAGGCGGTGCCTCGTAACTTCACGTACACTCTTACGTGCAGAGGAAGACGGTAAGAAGAAGCGAGTACTTGGTTAAAGTAAAAAGTAGAGCTGTATTTATAATAGTTAATGTCTGCAATAAATCACTATTTATCTTCATCTAACTATGTCTAAATACAAATGTGTAAATCAACTATCTGCTCACCACTCATTGCGTGCGTCTGTCGTGGCGCGTCTTCGTTGGTTGATATAATGGCCTATATCAACCAGTTAGGAACTATTCGTAAGTGCTGCAGAATATTGTCCTTATGACAATATTCTGAGAATATAACTCTTATAGTTATATTCTATTAACAATTTCTTATAAATTGTTATGTAACGATTCACCCCGTTACATCACCCCCCTTAACCATCAGTCACTTTAGTGACTGATTGACTAAATGGATACTCGTCCCAAATCATTTGGGACAGGGTTTGCACTTGTTGGTCCGAGTCCACTTTCCAACATTTCATCGCATAATTAACAAGCCCATGCGATGCGCGAGCAAGGCCGCCGAGAGCGCGTCCGCACGTCTCTGTGCGGACGCCGAAGCATAAACCACAGCAACTGATGTCTCATCGGTTGCTGAAGCGACCCAGCCTGTGTCACTTGGTGATGCAGGCGCTGGTCATGAAGACACTCATGTCTTCACAGAGTATGAGCTCGGAGTCTCATACTCTCCTGATACGGAGGACGGATCCGTATCAACGGCGATCGAATACAAGCCGCCTGTCAAGCGTGGCATGGATGATGCTATGCGTCGTAGCATCTTTGGTTCATCTGATGAATCAGATGAACCATCGCCGAAGCAAAGGCGCTCGAGGTCGCGAGACTCGGGCGCTAACAGTGGTGTCGGTTCTCCTATGGACACCACTTCGCAACGAGGTGCCAGTACTTCTGTCGGCACGTCGCAGGAAGAGCGGGACCGCAATGTCTTGCGTCTCGCTCCCGAGAAGAAGGCATGTATGCATCCCAAATCCGTCATGGATAACTTGTCGGCGACGACGAGGGATCATTATCGAACACGGTTGTTCGATTCGTCAAGGATCCATCACCTTGACCCCAGCGCGAAAAACTATCGCGCTGAGAATGGATTCTTCATCGATGCTTTCTTTAGACATCGATGGTACAGTGGGAATCACAAGCGTGATGGTCCCTCACTACTTCAAGCGTGGAACGCCTACATCCATAACCTTGAGGATGTAGGTCGTGACGTTTGGAACGACAAACTTATCAAAGCTCGTGATAAGTTTGAAAAGCGAACCCCGACAGGTGCAAGCTATAAGCTGCATCGTCTGTCTAGGGAGAGTGGGTTACCCTGCCTCTCTTGGGGAGACTCGTGCCCATGTTGTGTGAACAACTCTTCACGAGCACCTAAGGAGGCTTACCTCCTTACCAGCCCGTGGTGGCGCGTACGTATCTCTACTGAGATGTACGAAGGGATTGACAACCTGAAATCCCTTTACGACCGTGCCGGGAAGACTTTCTCCGGCGGTCCTTCTGCGGCACAGAATGTGCCGCGTCGTACTGCTCAACCAGACCCAGTACGTCAACCATCAGTTAAGAGCGGGGCTACCAAGTACCCCAGGACGGGGGATAGCCGCGCCACCGGACGAGATAACTCGTCCGACGTCCGTTCACGTCGCGGTGGTTCAACAGCTGCTCAACTAGATAGCGCTGGACACCGCGAGAGTCCTCTAATGGAGGTGGAGGAGGAGGAAAGACGCTCTCCACACAATCGTGGGGATCCGTGTGTTCCCGAGAGCTTCTTTGATCGCGTAACGCAAGGGTTACGCGGCGATCTCGAACATGAGCGGAATAGGCGTCTCCAAATGGCGGACACTGCCTCGAAGCATCGAGCTGAGTTTGCCTTTGCTCAGCTTGAGAACGAGAGAGCTCTGACATCTCTTCGTGACGAGCTAAGGATAGCTCGTGGGATTGTTGATCGGTCTCGGGATGAGATAACTGCTCTTCAGACCCTTGTCGATTCCCACCATCGGGAGCACAAGTCTCTCTGCGAAATGATTGAGCGCAAGGGCATTCTTCATCGGAAGAAACAGCGTACTGATGGTACGGCTTAAGCCGACCAACGTAAAACGTGGGATGCGTTCGCATCTTACGTGGAAAATCGATCGTGTATGCATTGCCTAGGCGTTGCAATACACGAAATGGGCCGATGTACTTGGGTAGTAGTTTACTACTACCCAAGTTAGTCACTACATGCTTTGGTAGATTAACCGTAGACAGTAGGACTAAGTCACCTTTATTAAATAAAAGAGTGTTTGTCCTTCCATTCTTGTCTGCGTTTTGCTTTTGCTTATACACCGCTTCGACGATGGAGTCTTGCACAAAACGGACTACCGTTTCACGAGCCAGTATGAACTCATCTGATGACTCGTTAGCTTCAGTGCGCTGTGAGTGCACTGCAGAAACATCAATCTTTTCTTCAGTGAGGGCTTCCGCACTCTCACTTGCATCATCTTCTTCGATATCGATGTTATCGATATCGGCATCAAACACAATGACCTCTTCGTCAGAGCGTGATGAGCGTGAACCAAATCGGTTTTTGCTCGCGCGAGTCTCTCCCCCCCTTAAACCAGAGTTACACTCGAGTAAGGTGGGTACACGCGGATGGCGCAAGCCATTCACGTAAAACGGTGTATGTGTCGCTAACGCATGCACCGAGTTGTTGATGGCAAACTCTACCATTGGCAAGAACTCACTCCAACTCTTAAAGGAGTGTACGTATCCTCGAAGTATCTCTTCGAGGACACGATTGGCACGTTCCGTCTGACCATCTGACTCTGGATGATCGGATGTAGACACCTTCAACCGCGTTCCGAGTGATTTGAACACGGAACGCCAGAAATCAGCAGTGAATCGTGGATCTCTGTCTGATACGAGTTCACAAGGCAACCCATGAAGTCGGAAGATGGTGTCAATAAAGACACAAGCACAGCCACTTGCCGTGATTGTTTCAGGTACAGCCACTAGGTGTACCATTTTGCTGAATCTGTCAACAAATACGAGAATACCCGTATTCCCGCGTGCGTCTTTGGGTAATCCAAAGACGAAATCCATTGAGATGGATTCTCAGCACTCAGCCGGAACCGGTAGAGGCTGTAAAGGTGCACGCAGTGAAGGACTTGACTTCACTCGTTGGCAGACTTCGCATGCGCGAACATACTTTCGCACAAACTGATACTGGAGGGGCCAGTAAAAGTCTCGACTCACCGTGAGATACGTTTTCACTCGGCCACGATGTCCTCCTATAGGAGCATCTTGATACTCGAACATGATCCGCAAACGCAGATCAGTATCATCTGGAATGACAACACGTGGTGTGTCACCAGAAACGGCTGTATAATACAGTAAACCGTTGCGAGTAGTATATCGATCTGATGCAGATCGATACGCAGACGACAATCGTTTCAGCGATTCTCGAGATGGCTGTGAGAGATG